GCTCTGTCTCAAAAAAAAAAAGAAAAAAAAAAAAAAGAAAGAAACAGACAAAAATTGATTTCATTTTTTCAGAAAGAATAACTATAAAAAAATAGTGAAAGTATTGATTTTGTATGATTTTACTATGTTTTGACTATACATGATTTCATACGATACTCTAATGAAATATGCTGTGCATTAAGATTCAGGGATGAAATAGACCTGCCATTTGATCCTGCAATTCCTTTATGAGATATATATCCAGAAGACCAAAAATTCAATTACAACAAAGATATTTGTATCAGAATGTTTATTGCAGCCCAATTCATAATTGCTAGGTTATAGAAGAAGCCTAAATTTCCATTGACCCACTAATGGATCAATAAATTGTGGTATATGTACATCATGGAATACTATGCAGCCCTAAAGAAAGATGGAGACTTTATCTCTTTCATGTTTATATGGATGGAATTAGAAAATGTTCTTAGCAAAGTATCTCAAGAATGGAAGAAAAAGTATCCAGTGTACATAGCTCTATTTTGAAACTAATTGATAGCTTTTATAGGAATGTCATAATCTAGTTAATAGCCTTAGAATATGGCAAGGGGGTGGATGGGGGGAGGGAGGGTGATTGGTGAGGTCACCTCTATGGTTAATCTTACAAGGGTACAAGTGAATCTTTCTAAAAGCAGAGTATGAATGTCTTGACTCAGTAACTAAGAAAATGACATGAAGGTTATGTTAACCAGTTTGATGAGAGTATTTCAAAATGTATATGAAAACAGCACACTGTACCCTATGATTTCATTAATGTACATAGTTATGCTATAAGAAATTTAAAAAATATATACAGGGATAAAAAAAAAAAAGTAAGTACATGTACGTATCAGTACAGTAGGCCAAGTTCCTTATGTTGACCACCTCCATACATTAACCAGTTTGTTACAGTCCCTTGCATAGTCAGCTTACAGTGGTTATACTGTATATTTGTATTCTATTTTAATACAATATCCAGAATAGGATTTCTTGAGCTTAGGCGTTCAAGACCAGACTGAGCAGGTGCCTGGCAGGTGTTGCAGTGGGTATCTGAAGTCTTAGCTACTCGGGAGGCTGAGGCAAGAGGATTGCTTGAGCCCAAGAGTTTGAGGTTGCTATGAGCTAAGACACCATGGCACTCTATCAAGGGCAAGAAAGTGAAACTCTGTCTCAAAAAACAAACAAACAAACAAACAAAAACAAAAGAAATATTCAGACTAGGCTCAGTGCCTCTGGCTCAAGTGGCTAAGGTGCCAGCCACATACACCTAAGGTGGGCAGGTTTGAATCCAGCCCAGGCCTGCCAAACAACAATGATGGCTGCAACCAAAGAAAAAAAAAATAGCCAGACATTGTGGCGGGCGCCTGTGGTCTCAGCTACTTGGGAGGCAGAGGCAGGAGACTCGCTTGACCCCAGGAGTTGGAGGTTGCTGTGAGTTGTGATGCCACAGCACTCTACCCAGGGGGACAGCTTGAGGCTCTGTCTCAGAAGAAAAAAGAAATATTCAGACTAGGCAAATCCTATGAGACAAATTAGTTGTTGCTTAGGGCTGGGGTGCAGGGAGAGAATGGAAAGTGACTGCCAGTTGGATCAGGGTTTCTTTTGAGGTGATGAAAGTGTTCTGGAGTTGCTGGTGAATGCACAATTATATGGTTAACCCTTGAGCACTGTTGCAGGGAGGTTAGAGGTGCTGGCCTCCTCATAGTCAAAACTTTGCATGTAATTTTTGACTCCCCCAAAACTTAATTACTAATAGCCTACTGTTGATCAGAAGCCTTACTGGTGACATATATAATTGATTAACCCATATTTTGTGTGTTTATATATATTACATGCTTTGTTCTTACAGTGAAGTAAGTTGAAAAAATAATGTTACTAAGAAAATCATAAGGGTCCAGGCATAGTGGCTCATGCCTATAATCCTAGCATTTTGGGAGACTGAGGGGGAAGAATTGCTTGAGCTAAGTTGTTGGAGACCAGCCTGAGGAAGAGTGAGACCCATCTCTACTAAAAATAGAAAAATGAGGCTCGGCACCCACAGCACAGTGGTTACGGTGCCAGCCACATGCACCAAGGCTGGCGGGTTCAAAACTGGCTTGGGCCAGCTAGACAACAATGACAGTTGTGACAAAAAATATAGCTGGGCATTGTTGGGGATGCCTATAGTCCCACCTACTTGGAAAGCTAAGGCAAGAGAATCACTAAAGCCCAAGAGTTTGAGGTTGCTGCGATACCATGACACTCTACTGAGAGTGACATAGTGAGACTCTGTTTAAAAAGAAAAAGAAAAAAAAAATTAGCCAGGTCTTGGCTACTTAAGAGGCTTGTTTGAGCCCAGGAGTTTGAGGTTGCAATGAGCTATATAAAGGCACTGCATTCTAGCTGGCAAAGGTCTTCATTGTAAAGATCTTCATCCTTACTGTCTATGTTGAGAAGGCTGAGGAGACGTGTTAGTCTTGTCTCTGGTGGCTTAGGTGGAAGAAAATCTGCGTGTAAGTGGACCCATACAGTTCAAGTCCATGTTGTTCAATGGTCAGCTGTATTTCTTTTAGGTGGTTCTAGTTTAAAAGTTTTAAAACTGGCCCCTAGTATACGCAGATGACAGATAAGAGAAATACAGTGACTTGGGGTATTTGGTTTTGACCAAATCACCTGTAGTCATATTATCTGTAGAGAGAATTTTTCAGTAAATATTGCCCATGGTACTGTTTTTGACAATGAATTTACTAATGATAAGTATTTTCTTTTTTTCTTTCTTTTTCTTTTTTTGTAGAGACAAAGTCTCATTTTATCATCCTCTGTAGAGTGCTATGGCGCCACAACTCATAGCAACCTTCAGCTCCTGGGCCTAGGCAATTCTCTTACCTCAGCCTCCAGAGTAGCTGGGACTACAGACACCCACCCACCACAATGCCCAGCTATTTTTTGTTGCAGTTTGGCCAGGGCTGGGCCTGAACCTTGCCACCCTAGGTACATGGGGCCAGTGCCCTACCCACTGAGCCCCAAGAGCCACCCACCATAAGTATTTTCTAATGAAAAATACTTTTTTGGTTTAGATAATCAGGGTTTTTTTGTTTTGTTTTTTTTTAGAGACAGTCTCATTTTGTCATCCTCAGTAGAATGCTGTGGTGTCACAGCTCACAGCAACCTCCAACTCTTGGGCTTAAGTGATTCTCTTGCCTCAGCCTCCCAAGTAGCTGGGACTACAG